ACAAGTACTACGATTAATTGAAGTAAACCTTACGGTAATTTTGTCGAAAATTCACGTTGCGAAACGCGGATATTAAACTTAGCCAATCAGCACAACTCTGACCATCTTTTTTTTTCATCGCGATAATGAACTCGTTTGAACGAATAATTTATTTTCCACTAATTAAAAATTGAACTCAGACCTATTGATTTAGATGCTTGAGAGCACCCTAGGTCGCGATTAAGATCATAAAGAAAAGATATTTAAAAGACGATCTTCGAATTTATCTAACACAGTTCGTAATGTTGCCCTGCATCTTGACAGTTTGAATTAACAACTAAAAATGAAGCCATAAATATCGTTCTCTTACTTTTCTGGGATCCGTCCTCTAAGTTCTTTAAAATTTGTATAACCTGCAAGGCATTTGAAGGATCTTTCATACTAAAAATTAAAAATCACTACTTTTATAAGCTTTATTATATATAAATTTTATTAAAAGATTGGTTCCCTTCTAGGCCCTATTAAAAATCAGCAGATTTGTTTTAAATTTCAATTCACGCACTTTTCTTATGTTAGATAAAAAAAAGAAAACTTCAAATTGTTCTTTGTATATTCAGTCAACTTAACTATATATATATACTGTATATGTAAAGATGGTAAAGTTCTTAGGTTCAGAATTTGAAACCTGGTTTTGGAACCTGTTTTTAAGAACCAGGTTCCAATTTTGAAACTTAGGTTCTTAGGTTCATAATTGGTTTTAATATAAAGTTTTTTAATAATAAAATAAAAAATATTTATAAATAATATTAAAAAACCAATTTTTATTAAATTACTTTTATGAGTTTTAATTATTTGCCAAAGAAATTGTTGCAGCTCTAATAGTGATAAAAATGCTAAATTAGTTTAGTATATTACAAAGCATTAATAATTTAAATTATATTTCATACTGTATATAAATTTGCAAACAAATTTATATATGATTATAAAATATAAATTATTAATATTTTGTAATTTAGTTTTTATATAATAAATAAGAAAATTACTTCGTTTCACCACTGGTAATCATCACCAGTGATTTACAATAATTAAAATTAAATTTTTATCAAAGCAAAAATTAATTTTTTTAATATTTAGAGTAAGGTTTAAAAGCTTTAATTAGAATGAAAGTAGGTTTATACTCAGAATTTCACGGAGAATTTTTTTATTAGAACCCCAAAGTAGTTTTGTTAATAAAATTTTATTTTATATTATAACGTACTGGTGATGATAATAAATAGCAAATCTCAATAAAGAATATATAAAAAATTTGTAAAAATATATAAGTTTAATTGGCGAGAACCGGGTTTTAAGCCATGTTCGGAAACTTAACAAGAACCTAGGAACCAGATTTTTAAATTAGAACCTATAGATTCTGGAACCAAAACCGGATCTAAACTAACTTTACCAACTCTATATATATGCTGTAAGCGGGAACGGAATTTAGGTGGATTTGGAATTCTTAATAAATTACAATTTTAGAGTAGAATTTATTTTATATAAACCTACACCATAACCTAAAAATCTTAAGAAATTCCAAATCCACTTAAATTCCGTTCCCACTTACAACATATACTTATAATTAAGATCATAATAATTAATAATTTAAACTAAGATTTTCAAATTATTAAATATATACGTAGCATAATTAGATCAGCTCTAGGAGGCACAGTCGGATAGAAATTGACATTAGTGGCGGGCGTAACCTGTCACAGATAGTGCTCAGCATAATCAAGAAAAAACCTGATACGTACTGATCAAGTCGGATATCAAATAATAATAGATTAAAATCAGTTATATATATATATATATATATGATTTTGATTTATGATCGTTGACTTGATCAAGTACTTGAGTGTCAAGTTTGTGCCGGTAGATTAGTCATGTCACAAAAAATTGGCAGTGACATAATCTAATCTAATCTACAAGCCATTCAGATTATATTTCTATATTCAGGATATTCAGGCTATTAATTTTATACTTATTATTCAGGATCTAAAAAAGTTCTTACGAAATTTTATAAAAACTTTTTTGGATCCCGAATTATAAGTATAAAATTAATACGTAGCCCGAATACGTACAGAAATATAGTCTGAGTGGCTCGTATCATGTCAATGCTAATTTTTTGTGACATGACTAATCTACCTTGATTGAGCCAAGCACTAGTCACAGGTGCTGGCCTATGACCTGTTATGACTTATTGGCTGATTTTATGTTATGACCTTATGACTTGTTACAGTTATGACTTATAAAATTTACTATTATATTATGACCACCTTTGTCATATAAAGTGGATATGACTTAAAATGGCCAACACTGACTAGTCACAGATTACGAACGTGCACGGACGTGTGGGTAAATAAATATACGCGCGAAACCACCATAGGCGCATTTTATAGTAAGAATATAAAAATTAATGCTAGCCTTCTTTTAGTTTCTAATTTTAAATTACTGGGCTAATAGTTTTTGCATTTTACTAATACATATCATGAAACCTTTTAATCTACCTACATAGTAATAATTTGAACATATACAGCATAATACATTTTTATTATACTCTAAATGCGAGTATCGTACGTATTATGATCGTTACAGTAAGTGTAATTTTTTGTTTAGTCACATGATTATAAAGTTAAGACTTTCCATTGGTTAATTATATTTAAAAAAATATATTTGTGTGGTATTATTTTATTTAGTAACCTTTTTTTGGTTAGCATTGCTCGCTTAAGTAAGCAATGGTAAACCCAGTTGACAATTTTGTTACGGCAGCTGGTTCAAATGCTTAGCAGAATGTTGCAGATTTGGCCATGCAAATTAATTTTAGCAACGGTTTTGTCGCTATCGTCACATTAGCATCTGAAAAAGGTATCATGCAAAAATGCGTGCATGCATGCAGATTTTGGCCAAAATTACACCATAATTTCTTAATGCTGGTCAAACTTAGTTATTAGTCCCATTTAAACCTTGTTTCGCACTTAACTACATATGGTTCGCAAACTACACTAAACCACAAACGTCATCTTACGTACGACTGTACCCTCCAAATTTCGTAGATACCCAATTCTTTATTTCGCGCTTCGTACTTCACAAATTAAAATAGGTTAAAAAGTCGAATTTATTAGTAAGGCTACCGATAAATTTCAGTTGGTCCATATAAATTGTCAGTTATTTATTTAGCCAATAAAAACGAATTTCACTCTAGGTATTACTGTAATAATCTTAAAAAATTATGTAATAATATCGATAAACAAACAAAATTTAATTATGGAATATAATAAGAAAAATGAGATTCTGCGCCAATAGGAATCGATCATGTGCGTACATGCAACAATACAACGCATGCAACGATACAACGCAGGGAATGCTTTTGGTTTCATAGAAATGTTATTTCTTTTTGTCCCGCTCTAATACGTAGCTTAAAATGAGTTCTCATATCGATCCACCGCGAGGTGTATTTACCTTACCAACTCCTTGTGAATATTCTAATCCCTTCTGGGAAGTCATCAAAATTTCTAATTCTAAACACTTTATACTTCAAAGAACAATAGCTTCAAGTAATAATAATAATACATTACTCAGAGGTGTTTTTAGTACTATACATAATGTGTATGCGATCAGATCTTGCTTTTAAACGACTCTTTCATAAATTTTACCTAGTTTTTTTTTATTAATGCTTCTAATGTATATTTTAATGCTTTTAATGTAGACTCGACACAAATGCATCTCCTTTTCGCATACTCTTTCAGCCCGAAGTAAATGGGAATTCAATGCAAGTTGCCGTGTCTAAATCTCAAAAAGTGATCGAAGACGCATGGAAATGGATTGAAGGTAATTTTGATTCAACCAAAAATTGTAATTTCATTCTTGGTCATTTTATTGGTATTTGATTTTCATTTTTTATAATTTCAGATAATTTAGATAAAGGGTTACTAAAACTTGACAATGCTGCGGAAAAGATGGAGTTTGTTGTAACGAAAATAAATTCTTTGGTCACTCGTCAAGGTAAAATTTACCTTGTAACCATTATTACTGTTTGATGTGTTTTTATAAAATAATATTGATTATTAGTAATTACTGATCACTAGCTATTTATAAAAAAAAAACTGAATTTCAAAATTTTATTTCACTGATCCTTGTTATGATTTAGATAAAGGAACTGATGAAGTTTCTGAGGATCAAGAAATTCGAAACGCATCAAGAACTTTTCGACAAGTCTTTAATCTATCATCAACTGAGAGACTAGTTAACTGTAAGATAAACTATGTATTTGGTTTTCTGGTAATAAAATAATTCTATTCTTTGTTCTAACAATGATCTCTAATCAAGTCTATTCATGCGCGTACCGTGGCATTCAACAAGGGTGGATGTATATAAGCGAAAATTATTTGGGTTTCCATTCCGTTATACTTGGTATCGAAACCAAATTGTTTATAGAGTTAAAAGATGTACAAAACCTATTAAAAGAAAAATCAAAGCGTGGAATAGTCTCCGATTCTATCAAAATTATTACAAAGGATGGTAATGAGGTTTGTGTTTTACAACAACCAAGATGCCATAGAAAGTTAAATGCATGGTTCATGAAATTGAGTCCTAAATCTAAGAAGTTAATTCTCTTGTAGCATTTTTTTTCAAATCTTTTTCATCGTGATGAAGTAAGTTGATTGAATCATTTCCACTTAGTTTATGGTGAATAATGTGCTAAATATAAACTGCTATTGCCAGACTTACGACCTATTAGTACAGTTGACAAATTTGTCAATGGAACGAATATTGAAAAATGCCACACTTGAGCCTGCTCCAGGATTTATATATGATGTTGAAAGCATTAATGAAAGTTTAAGACCAAGTACCCCCATGTTACCAGAACCCCCTGTATCACCAATGATTCCCCCCCTAAGGAAAAATCTCGAAGATCAAAAACGTGACAAAGAATTCCAAATATCATTTAACCTGCCCATAACTGAACATTTAATGCAAGAATGTACTTGTGAATTTGTGT